GGTCAAATAAATCACGCAAATCTTCCAAAAGCCTCCTACTTAGTAGTTACGTTGTCGTTATGTGGTCGGCAAAAGGATCAAATGCATGGGGTTTTTTAACCTACTACGCAGTCTGACAAGATCAAGGGCTAGGAGTAATTGTGCTTCGGGGCAGCAAACGAGCGAGTTTGCAAGGGATTTTATGAGCTCAAAAAGGGACTAGGTCGATCCCCGTGAGGAGGTTGCAAACCCTTTATTGGCCCGTGGTATCATTATTCTCTGCAAATTGCCCTTCCCTACTTGTACTTGTAATAGCAATCATCAATGATGGTTTAGATGGCTCAAGAGCGCGCCGGGCTAAACACCAACGCCACTCACGTTCTGTGACCATTGTTCAGGCGCATAGCGATCTCTGTCAAGTTGGCGTTTTATTCCCGAACACCACGTCAAGCATCCACTCCACGTCGGGCCATATCGTTACCGTTACCACTAGATTACTATGCAAAGGGTTAGAGTGCATATGTCCTTGTATTAGCAGAGTAAACTGCATCGGAGTGAGTGAAGTCACAAAGACACCGGGTAAATCGTCTTCGGAACATAAATGGCAGTGCGGCCCTACATTCACGACCGATGACGCCTTAGTCTTCGACTACTCGCATATTCAGTAAATCCTTAGAATCCGTCAGTATGACTGGACTTCAGTGTTCTAATACAAACCAGACATGCACAGTTCCCCTTCGATTTTCTTTCTAGTTCGGGCAATTTCTATCTCGTTTAACCCCATCCCCTTCATCCTGTCCAACCCATAGGATCGATTGGGTCGCTCGGTGTTGGCGTGAATAGATCAGATAAACAAAGATTGCAAGCCCCTAGAAGGAGTAAAAGGACGTTTCCGCTCTATCTGAGCAGAACCGCAAACAGAGTTGTCAGCCGCTTCTAGTAGTTAGATCACAAAATCAGGAAAACCCACCTGTCAAGTCGATGAATGACATGGAGATTTGAAATGTTCTTCTCGTTGTACAGGATTTTTGCGAGTGTGTTGTGATGGAACTGACCGCAGGGGTGTACAGGAAGCGAAGAGGGTTTGTTTACGACAAGAAGTTGATCGTCCTCGAAGACGGTTTTAATCTCTTCGTCTTAATGGGGCGATAAGAAGAGTGTTGGGGAAAAGGCTCACCTAGAACCGGCAGTTCATGTCGGTGCACATGGTGCTCCACAAGGTCCGAGTCTCGCAACGTGTAGTCAAGTCCTACGGGACTGCTGTTGACCTTGATCTGACCATTAGTTATACGATGTTTCTAGAGTGGGTAGTCAGAAAAAAAACTCGAAAACCTACAATCATTTCTTCGTTGTCGAAATTGAACTCGCTGGCAAGAATGTCGAAGAGCTTTTTTCCAACCCACCGCCGTTTGCAAAATGCCGTGAAGGTGTAATAGTAGGGAACAACCTGAAACCTCGTCATGAAAACGTTTTGCCCACCTTGCGAAGACCATTATCTGAATAGTACTTTATGGGCTGTTGTTGCTGTTGCTTAATGGCTGCAAGGTGGAGGTCCCTGCGAGATTTCGCTCGAGGTCTTTTGCCATCCCTCTGACCACTCGGAGTTACCGGCGCCACGAGGTCTGAATCGGGTCTGATTTCAGGG